CACAGCAATAGAAACCCTAATTAAGACAGATGTCTTCTGCTTTGTCTTTTGAGACAGGGTCCTTTGTCGGCCAGAATCTTGCTGAATACATTGGGCTGGCCAGCCAGCAAGTCTTCAGGGTCCTTCCATCTCTGCCTCCCCAGGGCTAGTATTACAAGTACACTAGCACACCCAGCTTTTTATACAGGTCCTTGGGAGCAAACCCAGGTCCTCCTGCTCTCAAGGCAAGGGCTCCACTCTCTGAGCTGTCACCATCCCAACACCATCATCATTTTGATTTAAATAATTTAATACCTATTCATAATTTTAGTTCTACAATTTAATGAGTAGAGAAGATTACATCATTTATATTCATATTCACCTAGTGGCCATTTTCATTCTTTTTTCTTGGGTGGTACCAGGGACAGAACCCAGGGCCTGGTGCATGGTGCAAATGCCCTGTCACCATGCCACATTGCCAGCCTCAATTATAGGCTAATGTCTTATCACGTATGCCCTCCTTTTTGGTATCACTTGACCACATTTTACTACTTTTTGCCCCTTCCAAATTGTTAAGAAATGCCAATATAAGATCAGCTCTTTGTCATTAATGTCTATCATTTGCTTTCAGCTTAAGGTGTTTATAATCAAAATTTTAAATTTGCGTTCATTTGCTCATTGACAAAATGCATCCTGTGTTATAGTCAATAGACTCACAAGTGGGCTTTTGAAACATGAATTTCCAACTACACACACACAATCTTTAAGCAGTTACTTCATGTCTTGCCATCTTTTCTGCACAAGGCAGGGGTCACATTTTTTAATCCCTCATAGCAACCAGTACATAGCCCAAAACACAGTAGAGCTCAAAATGCCTGCCTGCCTGGGATAAAAAGATATTGTGTCTGGAGATTTGCTTTGAAGAAACTCAGTTTGGGATGGGAGATGAAAATGGGGCAAAGATGAAACAGAACTGGCCACGTGTCAATCATTGTTGAAAGTGGTGATGGGTACATGGAGCTTATTATACTATTATGCCTACTCTTTTGTACTTTCTTAAAATTTCCATAATCAAAGGGTTTTTTTTTTTAATGTGTGTTTGATTGATTGGGCAACAAGAGAGGGAACTTCTGGGATAACAATGGCGGTGAAAATGAAATACATATGCATTAAGGCCACTTCTGCACAAAAACATCCTGAGCCCCGAAGTCAATCAGCTCGAGTAAAAACCCCTTCTAGCTCAGTGACCTCAAACTGCTACTCACCTCCTCTGAAACTCAGCTTTTCTCTATTCAAAGGCATTAGTAACTATAGAAAAGGTTACAGTGAAGACCAGCGAGTGTAAAACTCTGGGCTGGCACCAGCACACTCCACAGTGACCATCATTGTCATTCGGTGATGGCAAGCTCCCGCCAGCACTTCCTGATGCTGGCAGTTCAACTCCCAGTCACCACAGCTGAGATCTCAGCTCCCTGACTTGGGCAGTAGACAAACACTTGCCAGAGACCTCGGTAGGACAGATATTAGGAATTATGTCCCCAGTATCCAGAGAAGAAATAGACACCACCACCATGACGGACAAAACCTGTAGCAACTGACTTCACTCCAGGTCCCCAAAGAGCTAAACCCCACATCTCAAAGGTGCATTCAAGAAATCAGAGACAAAGCCCTTCCAAAATAGGTTTGAATTGTTGAACAAATACTGGCATTACCCCTGGGGAGTGAGAAGACTAAAAATATACCTGTGTCCAAGAGGGCTCAATAAAGTACTTCAACCTTGCAAGCACAAGGTCCTAAGCTTGACCGCAGAACCCACATAAAAAGGCTAGACACAGTGACATGCCCTTGTGACTCCAAAGTTGTAGGGGCAGAAAGACAGGGCTTAAAGGCCAGCCTAAGTTAATTGGTGAGTTCCAGGTCAGTGAAAGACTGTCTCAAAATTCAAGGTGGATGTTTCCCAAAAGAACACCACTTGAGATTTCCTCTGGCCTGCACACACACACATGTGCTTGCATATGCACCTGTACAAAAAGCACATGTATAACCATACACACATGTGTACCTGGCCACACACGTAAACACATGAACACAAAAATACCTGTGCCTGGATGTGAGCCTCAGAACTATTAGATTTAGTGGTCTGGGGCTGCCCTACGTACTGAGAGTTCAGTGATGTACATGCAACATCTCTACTGTAAATGAAGACGAGCCATCCGTGTGTGAGCCGAGGTTGGGCGTAGTGAGGACAGGAGGGGGTGGGGGGACACAAAGGGAGAAAGAAGAAGCCACAGAGTCCCCACATGAGCCTCATTAAAGCTAATTCAGTCATGTGGCCTCCAGCTGTGCCTCATGCCAGATAAAGCCAATCCCAACAGAGTCCCCCATCATTTTCTCCTTGTTCTTCAGGAGAATGACATCTGTAGCAATTCCCAGGACTAAGGAACGCTACTAACTCCAGGATGCATACATGCCAATATTCTAAGGAGTAGTAGAGCAATGTAGCTTGTCTCCGGGCTTTGCTCTTAGGGGGATAAAAAGAGCTGGTTGAGTGATGACGGGACATGGGAGAAGGAGACAGGCATTCTATCTCACAGCACTCTGGCCTCTCATCGGAGTGATTGAATCACGCTCAGGGTAGCAGTTTTGTGAAGTTATTGCAAGCATCTTTGATAGGGGGTCGGGGGACACTTCCATTTTAATCCCTTGGGCCGGGAAGATCTACTGACTGGCTGTCTAGCTGTCCACCAAGCTGAGCCAGCCTGAACGGTGGACACATGGCAGCGCTTAGCCTGTCACACGAGCAAGGGACACCTGACAGTCTGCACTCCGGGGCACTCTCATTTAGCAAGTCAGCCTGGACTAATCTGGAAGTTCCTTTCCTTGAGCAAACACCACCTGGTCGGGCCTGGCCTCGCCAGAACAAAAGCCGGCCAGCGGCTGTCTGTCATGAGACAGCAAACACTTCAGAATCAGGAGGGCAGAGGTCAACCACTCTCATAAGCAACACATTCAGGACTCCACGAGCCTCCAGAAGGGAGGAAACAGCTGCCCTCAGCTCTGCCCCCCTCCCCATCACCTCTTCTCCGCAGGTCTCAGCCTAAAAGGAACCTCAAGAAGGTCTAATTTCCCCTCTGAGGATACGAATGCTCAGATGCGCTTTCAAATACAGACAAAGGTCACCACATTCTTTTTACTAGAATAAATACTAAACTTAAAAATTGACAGAAGGGAGGGCTCATGAATCTCCAAGCTTGGAAGGTTTCACCCAAAGGTTGTGGGTGCCCTCCCCCGACTCTTAAGTAGTGCCACCCATAAAGACCTTGGGGAGATCTAAGTTGGAGACCCACAGTGGGAATCACAATGATGATGCTAATGAATGCTTACATGGCGCCCATATGTCCCAAGTGTTTCACATGTAATCCTCATCACAGCCTTACAAGGGAAGTGAAATAATAACCACTAATAATAGTAATATGTCATGCATAACATGAGAGTAATATATAATGCTTACGACATCATAATAATGTATCACATGTATAACATAACAATCATGAAGATAATCGTCTCTATTTTTTTTTTTTTCAGATAAACACCCTGAGAAGCTAGGTGTCTTGCCTGTGTGGGTTGGCCTCAAGCCCAGGCAGTCAGGCCCAACCAGGCAGAGTGCACCAGCCACAGCCCTAGACTGCATCTTCCTAGTGCAGGCCTCAGAGCCTCCTTTGAGTCTGCCAGTTCAGAGAGCAGCAGAACATAGGGATCTTTGGAGTGCTCTGGGCTTGAACCCAGCTCTCCACTCCAAGGCATGAGGGTGCATGCGTCTTCCATAAATAGGAATAACGACACTATGTCCCACGGCTGTGCAAAGCTTTAAACGGGAAGTCAAAACAAGCACCTCACCCAGGGCTGGTGGCCAAGGTCACTTTATCCCTGTGCTCTCCAGCCTGGCTCTCCAGACCGGTTACAAGTCGGAGTCAATTGACATTTACAGCACTCAAGTCCAATCCCCCACCAATCACCCCTCCAGATGACTATCCAACAGGGGGTCTGAAATCGGTCCTGCCCTAGACCTCACCAAGAAGGGAAATCTGAAGCTCCTTCGACCGACAGCCACCCTGTGTCCCCTCATCCAGAATCACAGAGAAGCTTTTAAAAACCTGAAACTGTCACCTCCATCGTGGGAAGTGTTGATTCTCTCTACATGCTGTTCTACTGGATAGGGGGGTTGTGGGGGAGGGGAGGGGCTTACCGCGTGCCGTGACTCTCCCTACTGTCCCCACAATAGCACCTCCATGTTTCCGACACATGTCCTGACTCACAGAAGCCTCTCCTCTCCTGGGACCTAGGGAGCAGCCTTGAAGCTTTCCCAAGAGGTACCTTTCCTGTGCCACGGCTGCAGGGCTGCAGCGTAACGCGCCCTCCCCTGCGTTTACACCAAGCACTAGCCGGAGAACGGAGCAGAAGACGTGGAACTACTGAACGAGTATTTAAAAATCTCAGCGCGTGCACATGGGCGGGACACATGGGCGCGCGCACAGTCCAGGAGCCATGGTACACTTTGTGCTCCAAGAAGGCGCGGGCTGCGTCGTTCAAGGAGGGTACGCGGCAAGAGCGTGTGGAGGGGGAAGCCGTAAATAGCGAAGGGAAGACTGGGGTTGCCTGTGGAAACTGGCAGGGGCAGGAGAAAATAATCCGCCCACATTTGATGAAGAGGAGAAAAAAAAAAAACAACCGCAGGTCTGGCCCTCAGAAAAGACAGCCAGCAGGGAGGACAGGGACCCAGCCATGCCAGTTTCCTGGCTTAGACTCCCATGCATCTTGTCAGGGCCCACTGCCAGATGGCAAGCAGTGGCATGGAGGGGCCCCGAAGGGGAAAAGCAGTACGGGGGGGGGGGGGGTTTGAAGAGCCACTCACCCAGCCCTCGCCCAGAAAGTGAAGGTACCAAATGACCCTCGCGCTCTCTGGACCTCTCCCGTCCGCCTCAGTCCGGCAAGCGACCTGAGAAACCCATCTGAGGCCTCACCTGTGTGAAGGAGCCGTCCTCACCACACTCTGGGACAAACACGGCCTCCTGAGGCTTCTTGGCCTGTTCCAAGGCCTGAGCCCTCTCCAGGCGACACTTGCTCTGGCCAGCATCTAAACGGGGGGGGGGGGGGGGAGTACATTGTATGTTTCATTTGGATGCCACACAGAAGTCAGGGCCCAAAAATGGCTGCCCCATGGCAGGAACACTGAGCAAAACCCTCCAGCTGGGGGAAGGGTGGCATGCCACCACCCTGGACAACAGTAAGAGCACACACACACACACACACACACACACACACACACACACACACACCAAGCCTGTGCCCACAGACGGCCGCTTGAGCTCACCTTCCTCTTAATGCTGTACTTAGAAAAGTAGAGGAGAAGCAGATTAGCCCAGGCTCTGCTTTTCTTTTTCTCCCAAATGTCCCTTTGCTCATGGGGTGAGGGGTAGTTTCCATTTCCATTCATTTTCTCGGACTTCTCTAAAACTAATAAATCCAGGAACGGCAAAAGGAGCGTGATGGTGTATGCCTTTAAGGCCAGTCCTAGGAAGGCTCTGATAGAAGGCCTGTAGTCAGCCTGGGCTACAGAGTGAATGCCAGGCTGGCCAGGGCTGTAAAGCAAAGCTAGAGCTTTCTTGAGAAAATCCGGGGTCTGGGACAGCCTGCCAGCCTCCTGCATTTCCTGTGGTGGCTTTAGGCAGACGAGGGTCGCAAGCTCAAACAGCTACAGGACTCAGGAAAGCAACACAGATTCTGTCTGAGAAGAATCACATTCAGTGCTCAGGAGCCAGAAAGAGGACTGGGGATTGCAGCAAACCGGAAAGCAAGCTCTGCTTCAGGGGCTGGAAGCGCCTCCGCTCTGGGGATGTGTTGCTTTCCCCAAACAAACCTGATAGTGCCAGACCTGACGATTTTGGGGAGAGAGGAACAGAAGGCCAGATTTGCTGTTGCCGTGAATCTCCCAGTGTTTAAATGTTATCTCAAAATACTTTTCATGTTTTAAAACAGATCAAACAAAAACACTTCTGTGAACCAACCATTTGGAATCCCTATTCCAGGGCCAGCAGTAATGTACTGTGTCTCCACTTTGAAACGAAACCACCAGCAAGACGCTGGCCAGAGAACCCCTGTGCTCCTCGCTGGTGGCAGTGTCTGAAGGGCGGGGAAGTGCTCACCTCTTCAGACACTACACTCTTCCTTCCTTCACACTGATGGAAGCCACAGAGGGACAACAGAGCAAAGGCATCCAAGCTCCCATGGGGCTATCACAGTGCAGGAGCTGCGGTCCCAGCAGCCTTTGCTGGCCGAGTGCGGGTCACTCACCTTTGCATCTCCCTCGATGGACCACTCCCAGGGCTGGGTCTCGACACTTGGCTCTCTGGTACTCACACATGGACTCATAGGACCTGCCATCAGAGGCACAGATGGGTTTGGGTTGAGTCCTGGAACAGTGGAGGTTGCATTGAGGATCACGGTCGCTTATTAGAAACTACATTAGGAGAGAAAAAAAATGAAATGGCAGAGAGGTTATTTTTGCAAGAAAATTAGGGAGAAACCTACGGCTTACAGTATTGGCTTGTCCTTGGTAAGTAAATTCCTGATAAATCTTGTTATAAAGCCCTAGAGATAAAGGGACCAAACAGATAGCAAGTCTATCTGAGGAAGACTCCCTGTGTACATCCTAAGGATAGTGAGGTCCGTTTATTGACCATAAACAGGCTGTGCCAAGTGGTTCACATGCAGGATCTTGTCATTCATCACAGCTACCCTGTGAAAGAGAACCCCTGACTTTGTAGATAAGGAAACAGCAGCCCAGGAAGGTGTGACTGGACCAATGTCACACAGCTGTGAGGAGTGGGGATCTCAGTCCACGCCTAAATCTGTGGGAAATAAAATCAAAGCTTTAACCTGTAAGACAGTCATCTTCTCCACCCATAGGGATGGAGATTGCCACCACTCATCATATCTTATACCTATCCGTTCCATTTCTTCTCCCCCCCCCTTTTTTTTTACAATATTGAGTTTAATATTTTCTTCTACCATCAACCCTATAACCGTTATCCATATCCCTGAGAATTATGAAACCTAAGGGAGAAGGAGCGTCGTTTTTTTAGAATTGCTTTTTGTCATTTAGGGGGTTGGGTTTAGACATCCCTAAAAACAAGAACTCAGCCTCCAATTTCTGTGCGGAAAGCTTTATGTACTAAATAATAGCATTAAACCCCAAATCTATCTCCTATCCATTGCTTTCTAAGGGAATACATAAGAGCTAAGTGAATTTTGGTAAGAAAATTATTTCCTGATTTCAGATCTGGCAATGATAATAATCAGCTTGGGAACACTAGAGTCAAACAGAATTCTTTAGGATCGGAATTCTCGGACACCTTCAACAAACCCTTATGCGCTGCGACCCTCCAAGTCCTACAGTGACTTAAAGATAACTACAAGTCATTCACCACTTTGCCTGTTGAGCTGTAGGATCTCCGTTATTTATTTGACCAGTTAAAACCTGTGGAAGTGATGTTCGGAGGCTTCGCTACGTCATAAAGCTAGGTTCTTGCAGCTTCATGCTTCTAAGATCAGCACGTGTGGAAAGCACAGGAAGAAAAGGAGATCCCAGGCACAGGAAGTGTGAGGGGGAAAAATCCTTTCGATCACTGTGATCCAGCTGTCGACTGACTGCAACCCGCGGAGATGAAAGTGAGAAGGACCACCCAGCTGAGCCCAAGTCCTACAACAGAACTGGAACTGGCCCTGCTAATCCACTGTTTAGAACTGGTACACTTTGTGGTTTTGCCATACAGCAATTAGTAGCAGGACTAAGAAGCATATTTGACAATGAATCTTCCAGACCAGGGTCTCTTATCAAACCAGAGACCCCTTTGTCAGTGAACCACTGTTAATGGCTGTAATTGTTCAAGTACACCCTATGAACTTCTTTCTGCCGAGTGGCCCCCGATGAGGCCCTGGGCAGACACTGTATGTAGTCCAGTGGTCCTCAAACTTCCTAATGCATGTGGCCCTTTAATACAGCTCATGTTGTGGTGACCCCCCTAACCATAAAATAATTTCATTGCTACTCCGTAACTGTAATTTTGCTACTGTGATGAATCGTAATGTAAACATCTGATAGGCAGGATATCTGATATGCAACCCCCCCAGGGGTCTTGACCCATAGGTTGAAAACCACTTTTGTAAGCTCTCTCAGTGGGATCCGAAGGCATGATGCCTGGCCGGGTCATGAGCATACAAGTGGCTATGGGCACTGTTGGTGTTGACAGTATAATTGCTCCAGGCAAGCAGATCTAGAAGGTACAAGTACAGGAGTATCTTGGATGTGCTGTAGTCTTACTGTGCGAAGCAGATAGGTAAAAGAGCCTGATAACACCTTCACAGAACCACAAAAAGGAAATGCTGGAAACAACCGCCCACCGCCGCATACATTTGAAGACACCCCACACACACCAGGGTGTCCATTATCTCACAGAGCACACCCCAGCTACAAAGTCCCACCATGACCCTGTACTAGGGAAGGATTCTCGGTGCAGGAGGGCAACAGTGAGGAGGGTCAGTGTGGTTTGGCCTCTCAGAGACCTATGGTTGCCACACTGAGGGTGCCTTAATGGGAATGGAGGGAGCATCAGCCTCTGCAAACCACCCTCAGCCCTGGATCCCTGCCTAGAACCCTTGAGGTGCCCAGCTGCCATTGAGACAGATCAAAGGTGTTCCCAGTAGACAGTATGTGACCCCAGGCCCCTCCCCGGCCTCAGTGCTAGCATCCTGTACCCCTTGCTTACCACTGCTTGCTTACCCGGCCTCTCTGATCATCTAGCCAGCTCCGTTTCCTCCCCCCAGGCCTGTGGATGTGCCCCACCTCCATCTGCTCGCACCCTGCTCTGCCTTTGGGCTCCACCTTCTTTTTCCAGAGGCTTCTCCGACTCTCACAGGCAAGGACAGTCCCCATCGCTCTCTCTCACACAACTCATGCTTCCCATGTGGTCTGAGATGATGAATTTATTTGTGTGACTTGATTGACAATGGGATCCCCCCCCAACCTGAGGCTCCAAGACAAGAAGGATTTAAACTGTTTTGCTTGGAAATGCATCAGAGCATCTAAGCACAGCGCTGGACTGTTTGACTATGTGTGGAACCAATGCAGCCATTAGGGGTACTTCTCACATGGAATTACCTCGGAACTGAACTGTATAGTTAAAGGCCTCGCCTCCCTCCCAGATTCCCATCACCAGGCTCTGAGCGCTGACTTCCTCTAGCCATGCCTTTTCCTCTAACCTCTCCATGGCAATACAGCAGGCAGAGGTGGCCCAGAGCTCCGTCTTGATGCCACCTCAGAACAAGAAGGCTCTTGAGGGCAGGGTTATCTCATCTCAGGTTCTTAGCTCCTGACTCGGAGCCAGATTTTTGCAGCAGGGTGGGTGTTCCAGGGTACTGTGTTGGTCTGCAGCATGGGCAGCAGTGTGTCCCGGCAGTTGGGAGCATGGAGGCAGATCATGGGCAGAGATCCCAGCACCCACACAGACACGGTTGAGCCTTGGGGAAGTTGCCTGTGTTTTCTGGCCCTGCGACAATGTTTGCGCATCTGAAACAATAAGGATACTAATGCGCCCCGCCTTGTGTCACTGTGAAGATCAAACTAAGCTAACAGCGCCTCAATCACATGTAGGTTTTTTTTGCTCATCTTTGAAATTTAAACAGTGTGGTTTTCTTCTTAAGAGAACACACCAAGGGAGAGACAAAGTTTCTTTTTAAAGCAGCAGAGGTTGCCTTGTCTGCTCAGCCGGCTCACAGAGGACAGCTACAGGCGTCACCGTGGCATTGAACTACAGGTCATAAATTCAGTTTGGAAATGGCTTGTTCTGAGCCAAAAGAGACTCGGGGCAGCTGTGCCAGAGACCAGCCTGACAACAAGGGGAGCACTCTGTCTGCAGACAGACAGGTTACAGAGCCTCAGAGCCCCACCTTCCCGGCCCACAGAGGTGGTCTCCTTGTCAGTGGGGCTCCCACAAGAGGCCTGTCTCAAATTTACTGGGCCCTGGGGTGCTATAAAAACCTCAGGGATAGCACAAGGCCGGGGCTGAAGACCATCTCCAACCAACTATAGACCCTCGTTTTGGTGTGGTTGGGGAACTGTGTGTGTTTGTGACTGCTTTCAAAACACAGGCTGAGCTTTATTAAATGGGGCTTCAGTCGGGTGCCTCTGCCCTCACAGAGAGATCAGCCTTCGTCCTGGAATATGCAGAACAAGGTGGTCCTCCGGTCCTCCCGTCTACTCTGTAGCTGGGGTAAGGGGAGGGAGGACACTAGCTGAAGAAGCCACGTGCTCCACACAGACACTGCCCACGATGAGCCCCCGCTCTACAAGCAGCCACCACACAACTTGTGAGCAGGGGCGTGAAGACAGAGATGGGATGCGATCCTAGAAGTTTGCAATACTACAGAGCCACACAGTTCCAAAGACCTTTTCCTGATGATCGAATGTTCTGTGTCCGTGCGGTCGAATACAACGGCCACAGAACACACATGATTATATAGCAAATGCCATTAAGAGACCAGATACGTGGTTGTGTTTAATTTCAGACGGCTTTGTGTGGATAGTAGCTACCATCTGCAATAGCCCAGCCATGAAGTAAATAAACCAGGAGGAGGGAGAGGAGGGGGGGGAGGAAGAAAAGGGGAGGGGGGGGAGGGGGAGGAGAGGGGGAGGAGGAGAGGGGGAGGAGGGGGAGGAGGAGAAAGAGAAGGGGAGGAGGAGGGGAGGAGGAGGAAGGGGGGATGCTCCTTCACTGAGTTTGTGCTTGTGTTTCCTGAGACAGGGTCTCACTATGTTACCCAGTCTGGCCTTGACCTTGCGCTCTCCCTGCCTCCTAAGTTTGCACGACCATATCCAATCTCCAGTGAGTTCTTCCTAGAGCCGGGCTAAGACTTCTTGAAAGAAAAGAGATCTTGAGAATAATTTCTGCATCCTGAACATGGACAGTAACTCAGGTTTGTCATAGTCCAAATGAAGTCTCCAGGGTAGTTTTTTTCTTCCGTCTTGCAGGTCACAGGAGGTACAGGCTAGAATCATTGAATCGAGCCATGTTTATGGTCAGTGCTCACGGCACACAGATACAACTCAGAAGAACTGAAGCAACCAGGATTGGCAGGAACGTTTGGTGATGGTCGTAGGGCCAATTATTCTCCCCCAATGATTCAAACACTTAGTCATTTCCCTTACGGATGAAAACTATATTAAAAAAAAAAAAAAACCTCCTTCTGAACTAAGAGAAAAGCAAAGCAAAATAATAATGATGTTAAATATGATTGCATAATATAGAAAACCAAACAAAGGGGCCGGACAATTGTGCAGCTGGAATTGTCTCTCCCACCCCTTCTCCCTGAGGACTGGATAATTCCGAACACTTTGTGTTGTGCTCACATTTGCAAAGTGGGACAGACACTTGACATACATATAAACAAGTTTCCCTCCCA